GCAGGAGGCAGGCAATCAATGATTCTCTCTCATCATTGATGTTTCTATCTCTCTCTCCTTCTCCCTTCCTTTCTGAAGTCAATAAAGAAATATTAAAACAAAAAGGCAGTGTGATTTTTCTTCCTATTAGAAACTAATCAGAATGAAATTCTCTAAGAACCCATAGTGATGTCCTGTGCTAATTAAAGGAAATGTAAAAGCCGACATTTCCTGCCCTTTTACTTTTAGGCAAATGACTCCAACCAACTCTTTCTGGGTAAGATATCAGTGCTCTGAGACCATGCATTGATGGTAGAATCAATCTTACTGTCCTGGCAGTAGCCAATGAAATTGAACACAGGCTGGGAAGCAACAGTAGTCAGGAGCCATTGCAGGGATTTGGCTTGCACTTGACTTGTACTCTCAACAATCCCGTATTAGTTTGCTGTGGCTGCTGTAACACATTATCATAGACTCAGTGGCTCAGACAACATAAATGTGTTATCTCCCAGTTCTGGAGGCCAGAAGTCTAAAATCAAGGTGTCGGCAGGGCAGCATTCCCTTCAGAAACTCTAGGGGAGAATCCATCTCCTTGACTTCCCAGCTCCCAGAGGCCACCTGCATTTTTTGGTTCCTGGCCCTTTGCTCCATCTTCACAGTTAGCAGCACAGCATCTCCACATTTCTCTCTTTCTGACCTCTGCTTACATGGTTCATTGCCTTCTCTCTCTTATTTTGAGCCTTTTGTACCTTTTTTATAAGGACCTTTGGGATTACGTTGGGCCCACTGTAATAATCTTCCTATCTCAAGATCTTTAATTTAATCACATTTGCAAATTCCCTTTTGCCCGGAGAGTAACATATTCCCAAATTCCGTGGATTAGAATGTGGGCATCTTTGGGGAGGGGGGTGTTATGCTGTCTATCTTACTTACAAAGGTAGGTGAGAGATCCCATCATATCCTTGGTCTGCAGAAGTGTCCCTCCTAATAGAACAAAGAGAAACTGACCTCTCAACTCCTTATTATCATGAAAGATGCCAACCTTCAGTGTTTTCCTGTTCCTAGTTCTCTGGTGAGAAGCCCATTGCACAACTCAGTTTTAGGGCAGTTGTCCCAAAGGACAGGGGGAATTTCTTTGCAACATCAACACTGCCTTCTAACCATCCCATAGACACGTAACATAAGAGGCTCTTATGAAACCAGAGAAAAACTTGGATTCATATTTTTCTCATCTTGTTGTTTGGCAAGGCTATTCCAAATATAAAAACAAACACCAAATTCGTAGGGAACAAGATTAATAGCGATGACTTCCTTAAAGTTCAAAACCTATATAGGTTTTGTTTTTTTTAAAAAAAAACAAAAACAAAAACAGAAACAGAGACTTTCAGTTTCTGGTTCCACATCTAAGAGGTCGCCACTCTGTCCAAACAAGTAAAAAGTTGAACAAACAGAAAAATCAACAACTTGTCTTGTATCCCTAAGAGAGGGGAGGACACAGACACAGGGAAAACCGTGGCCGCCAAGACTGCAAACAGCCAGGCTAACACAGGGAGGCAGAACTTACGGGAACGCGTGGGAGCCAGTGCCAGGGCGGAACGCTTAAACGGGAACCAAAGACACGCTGGAGGCTCCTCAGTGTGGACACCTCTGAGAGGTAAAACCCTGGGACTCTGTCACGGGAGCCCCCACAGTTTTGTGAGATTTACCTCCAGGAGCTCCACCAGGCTGTCACAGTAAATATGGGAGAAGAAGCTTGTGCTTCCAGCAGGGTGAGGAGACAGCCATTTTGAAAGTCCCACGCACTCAGTTCTTAGTAAGACCTGCCCAGGGCCTCACCTACTGGGTATTTCCAGAGCCTAACTGGCCTGGGGGAAAGGAAACACTGAACATTAGCTCCATCTAGCCATCCTGTCCTACCTGAGGGGGAGAGAAACTAAGAAGCACTTGTGAAGCTCACAGTCCAGAGGCACAGGCTCACTGAGACTGAGACCTCACCCCAGGGCTGCAGAGGCCTCCCTCCCCTAACAGCTACCTTGCTACAGGCCTGCTTACAGCAGTTCAATCGACCTGGTCCATCATGCTCACTAGCAAGAAAAATTCACAAGATATACCACAAGGCAAAAAAATACAACTTGAAGAGACAGAGCAAACATCAGAACCAGACAAGGCAGGGATGTTCAAATTACCAGACAGGGCATTTAGAACAACTGTGATGAATATGTTAGGAGCTCTAATGGGTAGAGTAGACAGCATGCAAGAAGAAATGGGCAATGTAAGCACAGAGGGAAATCCTAAGAAAGAACAAAAAAGAACCAAAAAACAGGGTAACAGAAATGAAGAATGACTTCGATGGGCTTATTAGTAGACTGGACTCAGCTGAGGAAAGAATCTTTGAGCTTGAGACAATTTGAGGTGAATAGAAACCTCCCAAACTTAAAAGCCAAGAGAACAAAGACTGGAAAAAACACACACCCATAATATTCAAGGACTATGGGACAACTGCAAAAGATGTTACAAATGCATAATGGGAATATGAGAAAGAAAAGAGGGAAAGGAGCAGAAGAAGTATTTGAAACAATAGTGACTAACAGTTGCCCCCAAATAAAGTCAGACACAAAACACAGATTCAAGGAGCTCAAAGAACACCAAATAACATAGATGCAAAAAAACAACAACACACACACAACAAAACAAAATACCCAAAACTGGCACCTATGCATATCATTTTCAAATTACAAAAGATGAAAGATAAAGAAAAACAATCTTGAAAATAGCCAGAGGAAAACAACCCTTACCTATAGCAAAGATAAGAATTATATCCAACTTCTCCTCAGAAACTGTGCAAACAAGAAGAGTGTGGAGTGAAATAAAATGTTAAGAGAAAAACCTTCACACTAACCTAGAATTCTGTACCCTGTGACATTATCCATCAAAAGTGACAGAGTCTCCTTCTCTTCACCATCTTTTCTGCTCTCTGGCGGCCACAGCTGTGAAGGCCGAGCTGTGCAGTTTCAGTGGGTACGAGATCTACCCCGGACACGAGAGGTGCTACACCACGAATGACGGGAAGGGTTTCCAGTTTCTTAATGCAAAATGCAAGTCGGCATTCCTTTCCAAGAGGAATCCTGGGCAGTTAAACTGGACTGTCCTCTACAGAAGGAAGCACAAAAAGGGACAGTCGGAAGAACTTCAAAAGAAAAGAACCCGCCGTGCAGTCAAATTCCAGAGGGCCATCACTGGTGCATCTCCTGCTGATATAACAGCCAAGAGGAACCAGAAACCTGAAGTTAGGAAAGCTCAACAAGAACAAGCTCTCAGGGCTGTCAAGGAAGCAAAAAAGGTGAAGCAAACATCTAAAGAGGCAGCAATGGCTGCTGCTAAGGCTCCCACAGCGGCAGCACCTAAGCAGAAGATGGTGAAGCCTGTGGAGGTTTCTGCTCCCTGTGTTGCTGGAAAACGCTAAGTTGGCAGATGAGATTCTTAAATAAAGACCTGACTATAACTGAAAAAATAAAAAAAAAACAGTGACAGAATTAAACACTTTCTCAGACAGATAAAACTTGAGGGAATTTATTACTAGTAGAAACAAATGTGAAAAGAAATTCTTTAGAGAGAAGGAAAATAATATAGGTCAGAAACTTGGATCTGCATAAGGAAAGGAAGAACGTCAAAGAAGGACTAAGTAAAGGTAAAATAAAAAAAACATTCATTTTTCTTATTTTTAATTGCTCTAACAGATAAAAGTCTGTTCAAAACAATAACAATAATGTATTCAATTATGTATATACTAGAGGCCTAGTGCTTGAAATTTGTGCATGGGCAGGGGTCCTTCAGCTCGGCCTGTACCCTCTCCAATCTGGGACACCTTGGGGGATATCCAACTGTCTGTTTAGGCCTGATCCTGCAGAGACATTCCTCTCGCAATCCAGGACTGCTGACTCCTAACTGCTCACCTGCCTGCCTGCCTGATCGCCCCTAACCACTCTGCCTGCCAGCCTGATTGCCCCTAACTGCTCACCTGACTGCCTGCCTGGTTGCCTCTAACTGCTCTCCTCTGCCAGCCTGATCACCCCTAATCGCCTCTTCCTCGGCCCCCCAACCCCCCCATGGCTTTGTCCAGAAGGATGTCTGGAAGATGTCCGGTCTAATTAGCATATTACCCTTTTATTAGTATAGATATTTTATATATCTACACTTATGCATGCTTATATATAAGTGAAATGAATGACAGCAAAGATATAAGGGATGGGAGGGAGGAATTTGGATTATTTTCTTACAAGTACTCTATATTACCTGTGAAATGGTATAGCATTATTTGAAAATGGACTTGGATTAGTTGTAAGTCATATTGCAAATTCTAAGGCAACCACTAAAAAAGGTGAAAATATGAATATAACTGATATCCTAAGGAGAGAAAATGGAATCATATATAAAGTTCAATTAAAACCACAGAAGTCAGAAAAAGAGAAGACAAAAATAGAAACAAAGAACAAAGGAACAAGTAGAAAATAGTAACAAATATGGTAGAGCCCACTATATTGATAATCACTTTGAATATCAATGGTCTAAATGCAACAATTAAAAGACAGAGATTGTCAGAGTAGATCAGAAATCAAGTCCACTATATGTTTCCCACTCTAAATATAGACACATATATATTAAAAGTAAGTGGGTGAAGAAAAATATATACCAGGATAACACTAATCAAAAGAAAGCAAGAATAGCTATATTAACTTCTTTTTTAAATTAATTTATTTTTTAAAATATATTTTTATTGATTTCAGAGAAAGAAAGGGAGAGGGAGAGAGAGAAACATCCATGATGAGAGAGAATCATTGATTGGCTGCCTCCTGCACACCCGCTACTGGGGACCAAGTCCACAACCCAGGCATGTGTCCTGACCAGGAATCAAGTTGTGACCTCCTGGTTCATAGATTGATGCTCAACTAATGAGTCATGCTGGCCAAGCTAGCTATATTAATTTCAGAGAGTATATTTCAAAGCAAGGAAATTTATCAGTGATAAAGAAGGGTATTACATAATGATGAAGGGTCAATTCTCTAAGAAGACAACAATCCTTAATGTGTATGTGCCTAACAAAAATGTGTTAAACTATGTGAAGCCAAACCTGCAAGGAGAGATAGACGAATCCATATCCATAGTTGGAGACTCCAGCACCCCACTACCAGAAGTGGACAGATCCAGCAGGCAGAAAACCAGTAAGACTTAGTTGAACTCAACAGTACCATCAATCAACTGGATTTAATAGACATCTATTGACTACTTCATCGAACAACAGCACAATACACATTTTTCTCAAACTCACACAGAACATTCACCAAGATAGATGACATTCTGGTCCTTTAAATGCACCTTAACAAATTTCAAAAAGTGTAAATATGCAATGCCTGGTCTCAAATCACAATGGAATTAAACTAGAAATCAATAACAGAAAGATAACTATAAAATCCCCAAGTATGTGGGTATTCAACAACATACTTCTAAATAACACAGGCTGAAAAAATAAAACAAAATTAAAAGACAAACAGTAAACTAGAAAAATACATTTGCAAAATGTATAGCAAGGGGTTAATATATTCAATATATAAAATACAGTTACAAATTAACAGGAGGAAAAGACAAATACTCAAGAGGCAAAATGGGCAAAGGAAATAGACACTTTACAAAATAAGATATCTACATGTGAAAATGCTTAAGCTCATTGGTATAAAGGGAAGTTAGACTAGAATAACTTGACCAATATAAAAATAAATAACTAATTCTAGAAAATATGTGTGCACCCTCTTGTTTGCTGGTAAGTGTGTGTATGGTACAACATTTCCATTTAACTGGTAATATGTATTAAAGCTTAAAAATTGTATACACTCAATAACCCAGAAATTCCATTTATAGGAATTTATCTGAAGGAAATCAGGATTACAAAAATTGGGCTGCAAAACTTTTCCACATAGTTCATTTTATATGTATCTATATATATAAAACCCTAATATGCAAATAGACCGAATGCCAGAACAACCCGTCGCTATGGTGTGCACTGACCACCAGTGGGCGCATGCAGAATATGGCGGGTGTCGGCAGCAGGTGGCAGAGCATGGAACATGGCGGGAATTGGCCGCAGCAGGATGGTGGAGCAGGTGAGTGGGGGTGCCAGATCAAGGTGGGGCTCTGGTCACTGTCATCAGGGTGAGCCTCTGGTGGTTACTGAAAATACTTTGCTCCCACATGCTTCGGTCCCACCCAGCACTAGCACCCGCTGCCAGCTCCTGGCGCCAGCCCCGATTGCTCAGGGCTGTCAGCTGGTACGAGCGGCAGCTGCCAGCCCTGATTGCCCCTGAGGGCTTCTCCACCTCCCCCTGCTCCTGAGGGGCAATCAGGGCAGCAGCCACCGCTCGCACCTGCTGACGGTGCTGGCCCCAATTGCTCCGTGGCGTCAGTGGGTGTGAGCGGGGCAGCGCAGTCAGTGTGTGGGAGCAGCGGCAGTGGGAGCAGGGCTACCAGCAGACAGGGGACTAGGGGCTGTGGCGGGAGGGGCTGGGCAGAGGCATGGGGGATGGACCGAGACCTGCCCCTGTGCCCACTGCAGCCTCACGGCCCACAGTTCCTTTCAAGGTGCATGAATTCCTGCACTGAATGTGTGTGTGTGTGTGTGTGTATTCTAAATATGAAAGGAAACAATCTGAATATCTGAAGAAAAGATTGGTTTACCAGATTATAACCTTCCATAAAATAGAATTCAGTCATTTAAAATGAGAATTGTATCCATTCAATCTTATTTATTATCAGAGTATGTTTATTGTTTTCTCTCACTAAAAAAACAAGGGCAGGGACTCTTTAAGTGCTGTGCACTTAGTGACTAGAAGAGTGCATAGCATGCTTCTAGTTTTTTATATTGATCTTAGAGAGAGAGAGTGAGATTAGAGAGATTTGTTATTCCATTTGTTTATGCATTCATTGGTTGCTTCTTGTATGTGTCTTGTTGTCTGGGAATCGAACCCACAACCTTGGAGTATTGGGATAATGCTCTAATCAACTGAGATGCTTGGCCAGAGCTAAAATATGTTTTCAAATAATAGAACAGCATATGAAACACAATTTAAAAATAAAATAATCAAGATAAAAAAATTTATGGAGAGTATGATGTGAAAACAAAGAAACAAAAAGATTTGAAGAAAACACATCAAATGTTTATACAGATTATCTCTGGATGATGAGATTAAAGGTGATTTAATATTTTTCCTTGTACACTTTACAGTTTCCAAACTCACCATAATGACCATGTATTAATTTCATAATTAGAAAATTTTTAATAAATTATAAATGTGTAATAGTGTATTTTGTCAAATTCACATCTGTTCTTCATAGTTTCTTTTAGAACTGGCTACTCAAAGTGAGGTCTGTGGACTTATAGAGCTATCCTGGAAACTTATTTCAGACACAGAATCTCTGCTTCACCCCACTACTATATCAGAAGCTGAATTTTATCATGATACTTACATACCTGGTATACACATTAACACCTGAGAAGCACTGTGTTAGGGTACTCTCAACTGATCATTGCATTACTGCTCTGGGTTGGCTAATTACTGTCAAGATGTAGCATTTGGCATTCTGCACAAAGAATAATAACACTTCAAATATCTTTCTGGTATAAAAATAACTTCTGCATATTTTTAGTGGCTTAGATGTCAATGATTCAGAAATACCTGGGTGAAATTTGCCTTTGGACTGGCCTCTGTCCCAGCGCTTGCTGCTGGCTGGTTTACCCTCCGATTCAGCAGCTGCTCAAGGCCCTCACTGCCCTCTTCCACTCACCTCATTGACTCCATTCACTCATCCCTGCCTGAGCTACCTAAGTCAGCTTTTGCTCACCTGCTGAGTCATGCTTATCTGTATGTTCATGTTCCAAACAGTATAATATTCTGTCACTCTGAGATTGCCCAAACAGAGATTTATGGGGTCAGATAGACAACATTTGCTTTGGCAGAGATTGATTTATTTCAATCATTGAACATTTACCAGGTATTTGATTAATAGGACAGTCCATGACCTTGAAGCTCTCTTGATGAATGGCGGGGATGGTAGGGGAGGGGGAGCATCATTTAGACAGGGGTGGGCAAACTTTTTGACTCGAGGGCCACAATGGGTTCTTAAACTGGACCGGAGGGCTGGAACAAAAGCATGGATGGAGTGTTTGTGTGAACCAATATAAATTCAAAGTAAACATCATTACATAAAAGGATACGGTCTTTTTTTTTTTTTTTAGTTTTATTCATTTCAAATGGGCCGGATCCGGCCCGTGGGCTGTAGTTTGCCCACGGCTGATTTAGAAAGACCATGCAGTTAGCTGGCAGGATATGTACCTCTGAGAAGACATGGGAATGGAGCATTAATGGTGCCTGGGGAAAGTCAGGAAGGATTTGGGGAGGAGGTGACATTCTCTGTGATCCCCAATCCCCCAAATGAAGTGACTCCCATAGTAGATA